GGTGAAGATGCCTACCAAGATGACAACAGGAAAAAAACTTGGGATTACAACTATTAAAAAAAAAAAAAAAAAAGAGGGGTGCCTGGGTGGCTCAGTCAGTTCAGGATCCAACTCTTGGTTTCAGCTCAGGTCATGATCTCAGGGTGGTGGGATCAAGCCCTGTATCAGGCTCTGTGCTCAGCTGGGAGTCTGCTTAAAATTCTTTCCCTCCCTCTCCCTCCCCTCTGTTCTTCCCCCTGTTCCCACACACGTGCTCTTGAGCTCTCTCTCTCAAATAAATAAATAAATAAATCTTGAAAGAAAGAAAGAAGAGAGTGAGAAAGAAAGTATCACATAATGTGGGGGTGTGAAGAAATTGAGCCCTTTGTGCATGGTTGGTGGGAACATAAAATAAGGTAGCTGCTATAGAAATGGTTTGGTCATTCCTCAAATTATCATATGGCCCAGCAATTCCACTTCTAGGTATATAGCCAAAAGAAGGGAAAACAGAGACTCAAAGAGACTTTGCACACCCATGTTCATAGCAGCTTGTTCACAAATAGCTCAAAGACTGACGCAACCCAAGGGTCCATCAACAGATGAGTAGATAAACAAATATGATATATTCAAAATGGAATATTATTCAGCTTTAAAAAGGAAGGCAAATTTTGACACATGCTACAACACAAAAGAAGCTTGAGGACATTATGCTAAGTGAAATAAGCCAGTCACAAAAGGACAAATACAGTATGATTCTGCTTATGCGGGGCCCCCAGAGTAGTCAAGCTCATAGAGACAGAAAGTAGAATGGGGGCTGCCAGGAGCTGGGGGTGGGAGAAGAGTGGAGAGTTAGGGCTCAATAGGGACAGAGTTTCAGTTTTGCAAGATAAAAGAATTCTGTAGATGCATGGTGGTGCTCACTGCACAACCACATGAACGTACCTAAACCACTGAACTGCAGAGTTAAAAATGGTTAAGATGATCAATTTTATGTTGAGTGTATTTTTCCACAACTAAAAATTTATTTAATAAAACTACATCAATACAGAAAATGGTCCTCCTGGAAACAGAGTTCGGAAATATGGAAACCAATATCCCAAGACCAAAGATGGAGATATTTAGCATGTGAAACATAGGCTGATCTGCCCTTTTAAGAGAAAATATCGCACCATTATGCACATGCACATGGGCACAGACAGCCTACAAAGACTCAAAAAGAATTCTTGCCCTCGCTACCCATCTGATTTTTTATGGGCTACAAGAACTGGAATAGTAAAGACTCTTTTTCACTCTCCTACATCGGTGAAACTCTCCCTAAAATACTCTTCCCGTGGATCACCAGATTATCCTGAGAGCCCCAGAGATTCAGTAGATAGTCAGAAGAGGCTTCCAGACAGAGAAGAGAGTCTGAAAAGAATACAGCCCAGAAAAAACAAGATTGGATTAGCTCTGAAACCACAAAATGTAAATCAGACTTGAGCCTTTTTATTTTTATTTACCACACACAGATCTTTATAGACAAGATTTAGGCCAAAGACTGAAGTAAGGATTATGGTTTCATTGTTGGTTTGGTTTTGTTTTGTTCTGCTGGGGTTTTTTTTTTCTTTCAAATAGGAACTTTGGATTTTCACACTAAAAATTGATAAACCCTACTGCCACTCTACACATGCACACATTTGTACACAGAAAGAAGGCTCTGCTGGGGACCCATGATTCAGCAGTAAGTCCTGCTGGGCTGTGTGCTGGCCTGGCTTTTTAGAGAGGGGTGTGGCTGCCCAAGAATTCACAAAACCATGCTGAAAAGACAGCTGAGGATGAAAATTAAATTTAAGCTTCTAAAAAAAATCAAGGCAGGGAATAATTTAGTAGGAAAAAAAAAAAAACCTCGTCTGGAGCTAAGTCTTAGGAAATGAAGAACCAAATCTTTAATGGGGGATGCCCTATTATAAAATCCAGTGATTCTCAATGAAGGGGCCACAAGGTAGTAAAAGCTATTTTTCATATTTCAAGCAGCTTATTGGAAACTGAGTATCTGCCCAGGATGTGGTCACATGGACTAAGTGAAAAGTCAAGTTGTTTTGTGTTTGAGCTGGAAGTCTTATCGAGTCAGTGTGGTAACACTGGTTGTCTCATCCCAGCCAAAACCTCTGATTGGCCACTGATGAGATCAAGGGCATTTCTGGAATGAGGTTTTTCCTTCCCATTCTGTTGTATGTCTTTGATTAATAAAAATGGAATTACAGCTGAATGATTACTGGTTAATTGCAGTTTAGCAGGCAAAATCTTATAAAACGCTGGGTTAGCCAAGGGAAACAATAGAAGGGGTCCTTTGTGGCGAAAAGTTTGGGAACCACCCTTGAGCCCCCCATCCCTTCCCCCGAACATGCACAATTCCAAGGGAATAAATAGGCTTCCCTGGAGCCAGAGTGGAGCGTGCCTGTTGTGTGAGAAAACTCAAAGAGAGACAGTGTAAATTAACTGCATCTGGTTAGATTGAGCGAGCAGGGGGAGGAGATAATTAGTTGGCATTATAGGAACAAGGGCAAAGAAGAGAGTTCTATATTTACTCAGAGGAAATCCAAAATAGACTACTTTGCACCCATTGGGTGCTCATGGGGGAATCTCAACATCTCCAAGTTGACAGACGTTGAACTGGATGCACAACTCAACCAAACCCCTGGATGACAAAAACCACTCATCCCACTTCGAACAAATGGCAACCTGACTTTATCTCCCATTACTTCCACAATGAAGGGAAGGAGGCGAAGGTAAGCCCCAAAGATAGCCAGGAGCAATAAGACCAGAGGGAACAATGTCTGCAAACAAAAGCCTTACAGTGAGTAAACATAACAAATGCATCTGTTTATAATAAAATGGGTTCTCTAAAACCCCGGTGATGGCCAATTTACCTGCACCCTTGGGTACCTACGTTTCCATGTGCAGATGTGCAACATTTTGAAAGTAACACATATTTCAAGTGATGCAGAGACTTCACTGGGCTGTTTTATTGTGCAAATGATAGTAAAAAAATAAATGCCATAGCCACATAAAGTTCTATAATATGCAGCCAAGATACAATGTCCACCTTCTGAGAAAAATGTAAGGCATCCTAGCACAAACAGTGAAAATACCTAATTTGAAAATCTTCTCTCTCTGTGCATGCAGAAAGACTGCTTTCTTTTGTACATGTAACTGTGTATCACAGAGGATGAAAGTACAAATATGTTTGGCTTTAGCCGCAGGTGCAGGCTATATGAGGTTTCTTAAAGTAAGAACTGCTCTGCATGGAGTCATTAGGATGTGTGCCGATGAGATGTAAGATGCGGCTTGGCATTTGTAGGTTTGCAACCATTTCAAAAGCTGGTTTGTGGGGCATTTACGACAAGAGAAGAGGTACTAGTCATGAGGATGGAGGACCACCTTGAAAGGTGAGCAAAGGTGTGTGGAGGAGAGATGATTGGTGAGGTCAGTGTGCACGCTGGAAAGGACTGGGTCTGCATCTAGCCTGTTCTCATATGCTTGAAATTCCCCCAGGGGATCCTGAGGGCATCCTGGCAAGTTGGGAAATGGGGCCACATGCAATCAACACATCCAAGTCGCGTAAGTCAGGACAGACGGTGCCGGGAGAGGGAGGCTGTGGCAGTGAGAGGAGCACGAGCTTAGAAGGACAGAGGGCTGTGTTCTAGGGCCAGCTCTGTTCCACCCAGCTGTGCAATCGTGGGCAAGTCATGTCAGCATTCCCAGGCCAGTCTTCCATCTGTCAAAGGAGGAAGATGGCTGACCCTAGAGAGTTCTCACAACTCTTTCATTGTGAGCTTCTATGCGCTTTCAGAAAAAAAAGAAAAACCAAAACCAAAAAGGAAATTCCAAACAGCTCCCTAAAATGGGTTTCACCTGAACTTTCTACAATGGCAAAGGTGCCCCACACACGCAACAAACATTTTACATTTGGTTATCAACCTCTTCCAAGCATCTCAGAGAAGACTGCAAAACTGCCATGGACAGATACTTCTGGAGCCTCCTGAAACCTAGAATGGCAGGCAGTACCCTCCAGTTGTACCTCTGAAGAGCAGAGATGCTGAGTGCTTTGTCCAAGGTCAGGAGCGAGGACAGGATCAGGATTCCAGCCTCCTCGTTCCTAGGGCTCTGCTACACTTCCACAAAGAAACCAAGCTGGCTTTCTGGGAAGAATGCCAGAGGTTCCATTCTCCCAACTGAGAATTCATTGGAATATCGGAATAACAACTTTGGAGACTGTGGTCTCTCCAATCCATTTCAGGACCTGGCTAGAAACACGAAAACCCAAAGAAAGAAGCAATAGGGAATTATTCCGTTTTTTAACGAAAGAGAAAAAATTAGGGGTGGGAATAGGGGATTTCTTAAAAATTACATGATTGCTGGAAGTTAATTTGGTATTTCTTCGTTGGTTTGTAAGTTCTGTTTCCAATCACAAAAACAGACAGCTGAGGATGCCTAAATCACATTTCAGTGAATTAGCATCTTGTCCCAGAGAATTTTGCACACTCTGAATATAACATAAGACCCAGGATGCAATGCTCTGTGGTCGAACGGAATCTCCCTCAGTGTAAGAGAGAGCTTGTCATAATCCCCTAAACTGTAACCTAAATTGATAGTCTTCAAAGCCAACAGCAATCACTGAAAATGATGAAGGGGTTGCCGCTTAACTTGGGATACACTGCCTCTTCCAAGAAACTTACTGAGACCCAGCTCTGCCAGATAGGAGAGCTGGCATCCTCTACCATCCACATACTCCTCATTAGGTTGACATCAATGCACCTGAAAAAGAATCTCATCATAGATTTAGAGACACATGTTCAGAAAGTAAGGTTCTGATTTCTTCCAAGAAAGGCCAACCACAACAAGAAAACACATGTTGGACTAGCTCTGCCTTGAAGATAGCATGAAACCTTATGGCAAATCCCAAGCGATCAGTACTCAGCATGGAGATTCATAAAGGAAAGAAACCAGGAATGATTGTTTCAATCACTTTCTCCCCCTACCTGTCGATGATGACGGGGTCTGAAGGAGTCTCATTTCGGTTCCCACAACTTTTCTTCTCGCAACATCGACTGTAGATTGGGAAGGAACCAAGAGAGTAAAAGAAATTTGTTAAAATCAAGAAAAGACAACGAGCATACAACGTAGAAACATTCACAAAAATGTCCTAGGTAGCTTCTTAGCATTCAGTTGCTCAAGCGCAGGATTTATGGCCATGTTTAAAAACACCGCTGAACCCGAAGCCCAAAGATACTCTCTCAAATTCTCACTCTATGGTTTATAACTGGGTCATTCTCAGCAAATCACAACTTTCCCAGGAGCCATATTTGTATTCTGAACCACGGGCACTGGATTTTTAAATCTATAAGGTCACTTCCAGTTCCATGTTGAATGATTGTAGGGTTGTATCTTTTAGGTCTTTGCATCTTAATAAATATTTGAAGAAAGAAGGGAAAGGAAAAGGCATAAAATAGACCCCAAGTAGCTGCCTGGCTTTATCAACCTTAGGTACTAATAACTAATCTTTCCAGAGAACTCAGTGTACTTTATAAACATTTAGTTATTTATCCATTTCTGTCATTTTCTAAAGATGAAGGAAGAAGACCAGAACCATGGTACACATTGTAAAATAGGGAGAAAATGAGGCAGAGAGCTGTAAAATGATCTCTCCCATGATTTTCACCAAGTCCAGACCAGAAATGGGACTTCCTCTGTAAGTCCCATCTTGAAGATGCTACCTCCCAAGACTTCCACCTAGCGAAGTGCTGGGTACCTGGTAGATGCTGGAGGAAGGCTTGTGAAATTATCTGGGAGGGAGAGAGAAAAGAAGAAGCCCTACAGCAATCACAGCAGATAGGAAGGACTCAGTCAGACCTGAGCAGAGCAAAATGCTCCAATCCAAAGGTGTCTGTATGAAAGACCTAGACAGATGTGACAAAAGCAAAGGAAGATGGGTGGTGGGGAAGCACTGGAAAATCACGTCCCCTTTTTGCTGCCCACTGCCACCGGCACTGCAAGCTCCTGAATACCTCTTGGCTCCTTCAAGCACATGGTCTACCATCAATGGTAGTTGCTTAAGAATATAGCCTTGACATGGCATAGAAAAAAACAACAACAACAAAACATGACTATCCACACTGGTCGGAGACTATGCCACATAAACACTAGCAGTAAGCCAACTAGACGTCAGCACTGCCCTTTCCACAATCTGCTTAAGTTTGAGAGCGAAGCAACACAATGGAAAGATGGCTAAAGTGAGAATCGGGTCTCTGGCGTCCTATCAGACGTTGCCACCAAGCAGCTGCGGGAATGTAGTCAAATCTGTTTAACCCTTCTGGGCTTTGCCAACCTGACATATAAAATTAAAATACTGGACGAGATTAACTCCCGAGTCCCTTCCTGGTTTAGGAAGCCTGTGAGGCAATGAGATCCCCAAGCCCTCTTTGGAAGTGATGACTGAAGGAGGAAAGGAGGGAGGCCATGAGGCAGCAGGGACTCCTAGGCCCTACTACCAGCCCAGACACAGATTTGCTCTGTGGCTGTCTCCAGTCCACGTGTCCTCTCTGGTCCTCCACAGAATCAAAAACAAACAAATGAATAAAGGAGTCTTTGTAAAACTTTTAAAGTTCATCTTCGCTCCTACAGGGATGCGTGGGATTACCCGGTGACCCACTCATTCCACCTTCCTCAAAGAGCAAGATATACTGGAGAGGTGCTAAACAAGTTTCACCAAATGAGCGCTAGGAGGTTTTAAGAAATTTAATCAAATTAGTAGGAAATAAAAGAAAAATTGTCTCAACATTCTTAAATACCCGAGTTGGCCACTGGGGACTTTCTGAAATAATATTTTGCCTTTGAAATTATATTGGGTCTTAACTTTTAAAATTTCAATCCATCCCAAGATTAACACCAATAAAAATGCTGGCCAGCTGCATTCCCACCTCCCAAAGCCCTTGTCTCTCTCCCCAACTCCCTACCACCACCCACTTCCCTCTCCCACCTCTCCCTATTTCCGTTGCTGATGTCAGCAGAATACCTATGCGGCTCAGGCAAACCGTTTTTCCTTAGCGACACAATTTCAAAAGCCCAGGCATGCTTGTTACCTAAAGACCTTCTAGCTAGACTCCCCTCTGACCTCAGCAGTATGTCAGCCTAACCCAAATATGTGTGCGATGCTGGTACAATTTAATTACGAGAACACAGACTGTCAGGATGTGCCAATCTGTTTAGTTTGAGAAGGAATGATTCTGAAGAGGCCGAGTAAGTTTGCAAAATAGCTCAGCTGAATTCAGCTGCTTTCCGTGGGGATTTTCTCCGAAAGAAAAGAAAAACAGATAAAAATGTAAGCCTGGTGCCAGTGTAATACAATGTGGAGAATCTCGTCAGGGAAGGAAACAATATTCAAAGAAAAATGCAGAGAAACTTTAGGACCCAATCTTCCATGTTCCAACAGTAACATATTTAAGTACAGTCTTTAATGTTAATAGCACAGAAGAGATGTAGAAGACACTCACTTGGTGACTGGGCTGAAATAGTAAAGGTATAAAAATAATAGGAGTGGACTACATGTGCTCCATCTGAGCCCTTCTCAAATGTTTTCTGGGTGAGGCAAAACTAATTCTTTTCCTTTCTTTCTTTTTCTTTTTTTTTTTTTTAAGAAAAGTTCTCATCAAGATGTCCTAGTTTTTTTTTTTTTTAATCTGGTTTCTTAAATGACATTCCATCCTCATGCCAGTAATATTAACATAAGCAAAGGGAAGTGGAAAGTGGAGGACATTCGTGAACCCACAGTCTCCAAACAATCACTCTGGGATCAGATATGTGCATGGTGGACCTGAAGGGCTGGGGCCCTGAATTACTCAGATGACAAACTCCATTCTCCTCTCCCTTTGCTGTAGAGACAAAGCCCGTGCGACCAACTTCAGGTTCAGCTACTTTAGTGAAAAGGTTTTAGAGGGTTATCTTCTAACAAGCAAGTTTCTAGGTCTGAAGTTCCTGGTAAGTGTTTTTTTAAAACTGAACAAGACTGTAAAATAGGAAAGGGGAAAAATAAACAAAGAGAAGAGGAAAGTGAACTTGGCACTAGGTTGATTGTGTTCCTATCACGAGAGGCTCAGAAGGGCTCCTTCTCCCTAATGAATGAAAATGCAGGTTGGTCCTCCACTCCTTAGTTTGGCTGGGTTTGGTTTATTTTATTCTAATTCTTACTCAGAGAACCTTTTCCCTGAAACACTCTCAACCTTTTCCCTCAAACACTACAGGCCTCTGTGGTCCTCCCCATCTCACAGAGTCTTTAGAGAGGGAAAGAGAAAAAATAAACCAAGTTGGCGATGAAGCTGGGGAAATATGGAAAATTGTATCCCAATCCTGAATCTTACCTGCCTTTTTCCAAAAGGAATTTAAAAAGGGGGGGATAAGGGATGGCTGGAGAAGAAAAAAAGCCCCAGCCCTGGACACAGGGTGTCCAGTCAGTCAAACTTCTGCTCAAGACAAGCGAATGTGCCCTTTCCCCTCCAAAATCGTTTTTAAAATTCAACCCTCAACTTTCAAAAATCTGTCTCTAATTTCAAACTCAAATAAGCGCACAGCATGGTGGCTTTTGTTTTGTTTTCTTCTCCCCAACTCCTCCCTGCGATTGCATAACAAAAGTGTCTAAATTCACACCATCTGGCCGATAAAGACACTGGCCTCACTGCCCGGCTGGCCCATCTGATTAGGGCCCTGTCTAGCCTGCGCCTTGTGGCGAAAAGTCACAGCTGTGGGGTTTGCTCGCGCTCAATACAACTCTGTTATTAGCCAGCTGTAGACCTTGAGACAACTTCTGTTCAAATTATAATATCTTTTAACCCTCTGAGCATTGAGGGCACAGGCGTGGCTTGCCGCGACATAACAACTAGATTTCTCCTTGCTAATAATTGGCAAGAGGAACTAAAGCAGGAAAGAGAGGAGCAGAGACAACTGGGGAAGAGAGAAAAAGTTATTCCTAAAGCGATTTATTTTGTTCCCTCTGAAAACTCAATGCCAGTTTATGAGCTTTTTTTCCTAAGGCTTACAGAACATAAAACCATTCAGGGAAATCCCCAGGTATGCTCAAGAACACCACGCAAACTCTCAGAACATGCATCTAATTCATCCCTCAATCATGGACTGCTCTCCCTGGCTCCTAATATGTGGGAGAAGGAACTTTTTCCCTTATTGGAGAATCAGCCAGCTCTGACTGACAAATTGAGATCTTCCCCTCTGGATACATCCAATATTTGCCATCATCCCAGCTAGCTCCCAAAACACACATACACACACACACACACACACACACTCCATACACAGTATCCATCCAATGGATCATTTATTTACCCATAATTAATATTTGTTTTAAATTCTAGTTTTGGGAAGAAAATCGCAGAGCGTCTTCCCAGGTCTCAGATGCAAAGAATTTACAGTACATTAAATTTTTATATTGTGTTACTAATGCAGACTAAACTAGAGGCTTTAAAAATTGATGCTGTTACTTAAACAGCATAAAATGAGGAGGATTTGATTGGGCTTAAAAATAAAAATGTCAGCCTTAACTACAGCTGGATGGGGCGTGCGAATGTTATTTAAAGTGATAGGTATAATTCGTCAGACAATGGGCCAGTTTCGGGGTTTGTTTTCTTTTCTTTTAAGAAGATAATCTCTCCAAACAAAGACATTTAAAAGTATAAAGAGGGATAAAAAAAATCCTTCAATTAGCCAACCCAATCAAAGTGTTCTAACTATTTAATCTAGGTGTTACATGCAAGCTCTTCTTGGAATTGCATTTCCTTTCTGAACGAATCTATCAGGGGCCCTGGGATAATGGAGTGGCTATCTGCTCATTCCCTCACCCATGGTCTCTCCCAGCTACTCAGGCAGGGAAGCTCCATTCCGCTCCGCTGAGGCCACTGGCAGAAATGAACTTTGCATTTGGCAAAGTTTGTTTTTCTAATACTTGGTCAAAACCAAAACAAACATGGCTGATTGTTATGGTTTCTTTCTGACTGGGTTGGGAGGGAGCCGAGGCTGCTGGGAGCTGCCCATAAAACAGTCCAGACTAAATGAGATGGCCTGCAATTACCCAAAACTAGCAAGTCTGGAGCTGGTGGATTATTCACTGGGGCAACAGCAGAGCAAGGAGGAACTGAGGCTTTCTCTCCAATCCGAGATTTGGGAGGAAGAAAAACGTGTATGGACTTGACATTTAAATGTTTATAGTCAAATAACCACCTCTTTCCAGAGTTTCCTTTTCTCTTTTGCTGTGGTGGGTCCCCAGTACTCAAACGTTTGTTGAAAGGATGAATAATTAAGTGCGTGGATGAATTTCTTCTAATTTTTAATTCTCTTCTAGTCAAGCAGAAGAAAGGACTCAAAACGGAATGACTGGTCTCCGGAAAGAAGATGCGGGAAAATGCAGGAATCTGAGTAGACTGCACCTCTCACAACTTGATGCTCAGAATCCAATTGTTGCTCCGGATACCCCCGATGGGGTCCTCTCCCCACCTCTCCCACTAGTGATCAACCGGACTGCTCTTTCTACCCAGTACTTTCTCGTGACCCCTGAAACTCCCCTGACAAGGGAAATCACTGGAGAAGCAACATCCCCGGAGGAAGGAAACGCTTCCGCATCACAGACAGGTGCCTCAGCGGTTGGGGTGGGGGTGGGGAGGGTGGGTTCCACCCTCCGGTAGTCCCTCTCCCAGACTGCAAGTCTTGCCAGTGCTTTGACTCCCGTACTCCACAAGTGGACCCTCCTGGAAATCTACCCGGAGCAGGCAGGACAGGCAGTAACCTAGCAGGGCGGACCTCGGGTGGAGACCCATTCAGGGAAAGTCTGTGACCCCAAACTTGGCCAGGGGCTGCCCGGCCCCTCCCCGCGCTGCCACTGACCCCTGGACAACAGAGACTTTCCTCAAAACGGAGGAAACTCCTGAGATGCCAGGGATTGAAATCCTGAGTGGTTCTGGGTTTCCTTTTGGAGTCTTAAAGGATATGCCCTAAGAATCTGGCCTTTAAGGGAGAACTCTAGCAAATCAGCCCCCGGGGTAAGGCCTCCCTCCCCTGGAGCCACCACTCCTAAAAGTCAATGCTGGGATGCACGCAAGCTGCCTGGCGTGGCTCCCCTGCCCCGCTTTCCAGCAAAGCCCGCAGGAAAAACGTGACACTTACCTGCACATCACTTCGTGCGTCAGGAGAACTCGGCACATTTCTGGATTCTTATTTTGTCCCTCATAAGCTATGGGCTACAAAGGAGTTGGCGGGGGGGAGGGGGGCAGGAAGGGAAGATATGAAGGCAATGGAGAGACAAAGGAAAGGGGACGTTAAAACAAGCACAGAATCGTTTTTTCCCCCTCTGCCCACTACTTCATTAGAAGTTAACCAGAATCTGAGCTGTGGCCTGCTTAACTCAAGCAAAAGAATAATAGAGAAGTTTGCCCTGGTGAGGACGTATTCCTGCAAAAGGGAATGTTTGGGGGGACGGGATCTCCTACCAATTGCTTCCTCTCTTCACCCCTTTGCCCCCCTACCCTCAACCCCAACCATAAAGAAGAAGAACAAGGGAGGAGAGAGGGAAAATAATTGTTCTCCAGGTTGGACAAACTGCCAGCTGATGTGGAGAAGCATGTGAAGTCTGACCCAGGAAACCGTGGGGGGTGGGCAGAGGTCAGGGGCAGGCGGGAGGCGGGGAGATGCAGGGGGGGGGGGCACGGGACAAGAGGAGATGGGGTAGCCCGCCGGCTCACCTGCTTGGTGACCGAGTCGATGAGCCTGACGTACAGGTCCTGCTCGGTGCGCACGCCTGCAGGGGAGGGGGCGGGCACGAGGTAAGGGCCGCGGAGCCGCTCTTGGCTCCCAAACCCATCCCCGCTGTGGGGACCGAGGCCAGGGCAGCCGCTCCAGGCTCCCGACTGCGGGCAAGCACTCGGGCTGTGCGGTCCTGGAGCAAAGGCCGCCCACCCGCCCCTGGCCCTGCCAGAGCCTCCCGCAGCCCTGCGCTCCCCAGGCCAGGAGGCTGCCCGCAAGCGACTGCGACGTGGTCAGCCGCCCTCCTAGCAAGAGAAACGTGCGGGCGCCGCAGCCGGCGCTAGGCGCTCACCATTGCTGTAGAGGAGCTGTAACTTATAGTGGGTACCGTTGTTGGTCTTCTCGTTGCCTTGTTCCTGAAAAGACAGGCAGCATTCGAGTCCCTTGCCTTCCAGCACCCCCCACCCAAAGAAGGAAAAACTAGAGAGCGCACCCCACCCCGCCTCCCGCCGACTTTCCCCGGCTCTCTCCGCAGCTTTGAACAACCCCCTGCCCAGTCCCAGGTCAAAGGGCAGGAGCGTCTGCCCAGGGCCAACCTCTGCAACTTGCTAGGGCTTGGGCCACTTGACCCTCGGCAACCCCTCTGCCCCCCCCCTAAAAAAGGCCCCCGGAAGGGGCCCCCCCCCCCCCCCGCTCCCCAGCCCCAACAATAGGACACCGCACCAGGATACCTTTAAACAGGCCCCACCCAACCCTACGGGCTCTGTCCATCCTTAAAAAGCCCCAAAGCTTCTCTTGGCAGAAAGATGCAGGGACTTGTCATTTGCAAGGGTAGCATTTGGCTCTATCCCACCAAGACTAGAGCCTCTGGGGCCACAAGCTCAGGGACCCAGGCCCAGATTCAAGGGGGACCTCAGGAAGCTCCAGCCCTAAAGCTCACAGGCCCAGAGAGGGCAAGAGACTTTCCTCTCATCACATGTCCATTTCATCTGAGATCGAATCCAGCCCCCAAACCCGAGCTGGGGTCAGAGTGGACACTGCACTGGGGAGCGAGAGTGGGAGAGGAGTCTCAACGGGGAAGGTGGGCCAAGACTCGGCTCTGGGTATCCACTCTGCCGGCGCTGGCAGGTGCAAAATAACAAAAAATAACCCGGAGAAGGGCATGCTCTGCCTGAAGGGCATTTGCACCATGGTCAGTCCATGACCAGGCTCTGCTAATGACCCCAGAGTCTGGGTTCGCAGAGCCACCAGCACCCCCGCAGCGAGGAGGTGCCGGGAAATCAACTGATTCAGAGGCTGGGGTGAGAAGCCTCGATTTATCATTCCTGATGATGTGAGTGGAAAAGTGTCACGAGTGACAGATGGAATCTTTAGTGCTTTGCAAGGAGGTAGTTATTAGGCCGTGAAGAAAGGGGGACCTCCACTTACTTTGTCGTTCTCCACAAAATCAACGAAGGCTGTGCGCTCAATCTCCACTGGCTGCCCCTGCCTGTCATAGAGCGCCAGAACGAAGTGAAAGAAGTTGGATTTCCTCAAGTTAGAAGGAGGCTGCTTCTCAAAGTGGGCCCGGGATAGGGCAACTCCGCTGCACAGGAAAAGACATGGAGGACCCCGGACAGAGGGAAGGAGAGAAAGATACCATGTTACCAACATGCCCACACAAATACCGCGGGGGTGGGGGGGGGAGGCGGGTGTTCAAGGGTCCCCATCCCAGGTCCAGAGTTCTGGGCCCCTCAGACCTTTTTGCAATTCAGTTTAAGAAGAGGGGACTCTTTCAAGTAGTTGCAGTGGCCACAGGGGTTGGCTGACAGGGCCAACGCCCCTGTCCACTGCCACCGTCCGCCGTTCCAGCCTCTGGGCATCCCAGGGCCCAGCAGCTCACAGTCTAGCCTTTAGTGGAGACCAAAGGATGCCAGCTGCGGACCAAGGCCCAAAGCAGTCCCGAAGGAGGCAGCCCAAGTCTTATTCCATAGGGCCGCCCCTATCTTCACCCTCAAGTGGAGCCGCCAGCTGGGTCAGGATTGGGAACTAGGCCCCTAGGTTAGGGCAATAAATCCTCCTTACTTTTGAAGAAGTGACCCATTTCCTTCACCTTCATTGGCGTTACCAGACCTATTGCTACTGCCCATTACGCACTCCTTGCTCTCTCCAAAAGTTGGTGGGTGGGGAACGTCCTGGGGGCGGCGGGAAACCCAGAGCCCAAGCCTCCATCCTACCGAGAGAGGCCTCTCCTCCCGCTTCCCTCGCTCTTCCGAAAAGTTGCGCCCCGGAGAGTGGCAGAGTGGAATCCCCGGGACCAAGGATCGCGGGCCACTGCGGACAGCGGGATACTGGGGACCCTGCCCCCAGAACTGCTGCGCTTGGAGAAGGCAAAATGTTATTAAGAGGCAGAGAGCGTCCTCGCCTGGGGCCAGGGGGATCCCCGCTTAAGCTGCATCTCTCGGCGGCGCCAGCCAAACCCGCTGACCGCGAAACCCCTGTTGGAGGGCCCGGGGGCGCCCCTGAGCGTTTTGAGCGTGTGCACACACGTCCTCGCAGACCTGTCGCGGCCGGGGACAAACTAACCGCCAGATCACATTTAACAGAAGTCCCAGGGCCCAGGGGAGCGCGCAGATGGCCAGTGCTGCCCCGCGGCGCTGGGATCTCCGGGCCTCGTACCCCCGGGTGTGAGCACTTTCACTCTTTTGAATGGCGTAAAATTTTGGCTAGAGTCCCCCCTCGGGCTGCCTATTCCAAGTTTAACAATGATTTGATCCGGGGAGAGGAGGAAAGTAGGGGAGGTATCTTTAAGGTGCTTGGCTAAGGAAATGCACCTTGGAGCCGGCTCTGTGAAGCCGCCTGATTTCCCTCCGCCTGAGCCCTGCGAGTCCCCAGACCGCGGCAGAAAGCCGCCTCTGCCTCGTGCTCTCTGCCGGGGGTATCGGCGCGCCCTGGGCTCCGGCAGAAAGGAGGGAGCAGCGGGCCGCCCGGGTCTCCTCTCCTCCAAGGGTGGCGGCTGGTTCGCTCTACCCGGGACACCTGGAGACGCGGCCTGTCTGGGAAAGGAGGCATTTCTCTGCGTGATGTCAGGACTTAGAGGCAGATGGCCAGGAGAGTGGATAGGAAGGCTGGAGTCGTGGGAAGAAGTTCGTGGGCTCTTTGGGGTTTGTGGGAGGGAGGCTGTCTTTCGAAAGCAAGGACGCGGAGACCACAAATCCCAGCTCAGCAGTGGTGATGAGGGAAAGGGACCAGAATGCCTTCGTGGGGTGGCACCCTAGACAAGGCGTTTACTATCTTAGCACGCGGACGCTTAGAAACAAAGTCAACTTCAGTAACTAGCAAAACTAAAGGCTGCTGATCCCCGCGTTTGCGGCCCGTCTCCTCTCCTCGCCTTTCTTCTTCTTCTGCGGCTCTTTCTACTGCTATTTCTTCGTCTTCTCTTTTTAAACCCTTCTCTTCCCTCACCCGCTCTTCCGTGCGTCTGGTCTACTGTTTTATCTCTGCGCCTGGACCCTCCAGCCTGCCCCCCCACCCCCACGCCCCGGAGCTCCCGGCCTCTTTGCCTTCCCAGCAGCGGCTCCGGCCTCTCCCACTCCTCGCGTCGCCGCCGCCATCTGGCCGCGGGGCTTCCGGCCTTCAGGAATCACCCGGCAAGATGCGGGAGGAGAGGCGCTTGCAAGCGGCGTGGCGAAACCCGGGAGGCGCCGGGAAGCCGGCTCTCCGGCAGTCGCCGCTGCCAGCTCCGGTCCTCGCGCTCCGATCCCGGCCGGGCCCGCATCGCAGGACCAAGAGCTGAGCTGCAAAGCGTTGGATGCCACTTTGTTATTTTTCTTCCCAAAGAGTGGTCTGTGGGGAAGGAGTGGGGGAGAAACACAAACGACCCAGGCAGTTCGGAAACTCGAGTGTCGGCTGCGGGGTAAGTGTCCCCCCTGACTGCAGCGACCTGCCTGTCCTAGGTCGAGCTCCAGCGCGCGGGGCCAGGGCGACAGATGGGGGGAGAGGGAGGAGGCACACAGACAGACAGACGGTGAGAGCGAGAAAGGGAACGAAGAAAAGCATTTAAGACCGTAATAACTGTGAGGCCGTATCGTTACCTCTGCGCCGCGACATTGGCGTCCACCACGCCGACATTCCGGACCCAGGACCTGACCGAATCCATCTCGGCACCCAGTGATTTCTCTTTCAGAGCTGGTCCTCTTCCTAAAGTATCTTGAATCCCAAACATTTAAAAAGTCTGGTCTACTGTCGCTTTAAAAAATACGAGTTACAACACTGTCCCTACTGTTCCCAATGCTGTCACCAAACCGTCTCCTCCAAAGCAATCCAAGAAAAGGGATCAAGAGCCGAAGTTTGAGTCTCTCGTTGGGGGGGGGGGGAGATAAAAAGAGATAACCCGTCCTTTGCTTCGCGCGTGAGGTGCGGACTGATGTAGTTAAAGTTTGCTATTTATCCTCCGCAAGTTCAGATCTGCCGCCTCAGGGCCTCCGTCCTAGGTCGCTCGCATCCTTCCAGCGGCAGCGCTGCCTCCAGAAAGTGATCACAATTTAGAAGCATCACCTGTTCTGGGAGAAACAGGAGGAGATTGATGGCTGCCTGATCTTTCCCCTTCCTCCTGGTCCCCCCTCCCTGCTCCTCCCCACCGCTCGAATTTAGAAAAAAAAAAAATCCCCAACTGGATCAGTTGTAAAAGGAAGGGGAAGACCCGGAGCCGAGAGGAGGCGGTGGCTGGGAGCACCGCGCAGCCAGGCTGCAGCCGCTCGCGGGCCCCATGAATGGGTTACTACAGCCGCGGCCGCGGGAGGCGGAGCCGCGCCCCGATAAGGAGCCTCATTTGCATGGACGCTCGGGATTGGCCGGCGCTGGGCAGGCCGGGCCGACGTCCTCCGGCGGCGCGCGCTACGCTCAGCGTTGCTGGGAGTCCGGGAGGTGAAAGGGGACAGAAAGCCGTGGACGCTGCGTCCTTGCCCGAACCCCGTGTGGGTGCGTGGGCTGAGACCCCCAAATCTTGCACTGAAGCCGAGTAGTCAGCCCCCGCAGGTTGGGATGTCCCCGCTTAGTCTGGCCGCGGGAGCAGGAAGACTCCGTGGATCTTGCCACTAGATGCAAATTTTTGTAGCCTGCGGGGAGGCATATTCATTCTCATTCTCCGGGCTTGAATCTGTGTGCATGTTTGTGAAGAAGCGGAGAGTGTGACCACATGTACTTATGTTTTGTGCAAACGTTCCCCAGAGTAACCCAGTTCCCTGAATGGCTCTCCCCAAGTCTCCTGGAGTCTCGTGGTGACACTCAGATTTTGTGTGCGGTTTACAAGTTGTTGAGAGAGGAGGATATATGAATGAAAGCAGCAGGGTGGGGGACGAGCAAGGCTCAAGTGCTATTCAAATAAATAGAGTGTCACGGAAAACGGTCAAGGAGCTAAGGAAAATACCCCGGGCAGACGTGAGCGGGAGTCGCACCCGTGCAGATGAGAGCTTGCTGACAGATCGCGGTTCGCTGAGCGCGAGAGCTTCCCGGCGTTGTCCCGGGAGTCCCCCCATTCCACCCCACTCCAGTTCCCGAAGCCCGGGGGTAGCCAGCAGAGGAGCTGCAGGGAGGCAGTGGGGAAGTCGCGGAAACTTTGCCCACGGGCGTGCGGTCGCCGCCTTGTTGCCCGCGGGCTGGTGGCCGGGAGGCGGCGGCAGGTCAGCCAAACAGCTGAAACCCTAGACGGCTTTTTAACCACGCCGGGCAGCTCACGGTGCCTATTAAAAATCCTCCCGGCTGGGTGTTATTTTCTTGCTTCTCCTTTTGTATTCTGATCTGCGCATAGATCTGCTGCTGAAATCTAGAACACCAGCGCGAAAACAGATTTGAAGACAATGAATGCAAATCTGTGCTCAAAGACCATCTGCCGTAGAGGAGACAAATCAGCTGTTCCACAGTTCGAGCGACTGCGCCCGAGCCTCCCGGCTTCATTACTGAGAGGGCCTTGGCTAAAGCCTGGATTACATTCAGGAGACTTTCCCCCCATTTAGGACTCAAATTTGAGCGTCAGTTGACTCTCGACCAGATCCCTTAGGTGTAGGTGAGCGCTCAGAAATGAACTGCGAGAGTTTGCCGCTAGAGGACACAGCGCCTTGCAACTCGTTTGCCAGAGCCGACTGGAAGCTCGCACTTTTCAGAAAATGCAGGTCTCTTGAGCGAGGGACCGATCTGCGCCTCTACTCTACCCCAGGGGCAAACCGAGACCCTAGCCTGCGCCAGCGGATCGCGCTAAGGATGCGCAGGTCTCTACTACAGATACTCACTTGAAAACCAATGAGGAGGGGGTGGGGGAGGTTAGCGAACCCTTTATGCACATACCCAGGGTCCCGGGATTGGGGTAGTTGATTCAGGGGGCGGAGAACGTGAAACCCCCGCCCCTGGGTTGTGCTGATTGTGGCACTGCGACCCCAGGGTTCTGGCTTGGTCCTGTTGGACAAAAGGGAGCAATGAAGAAAGACTGGGCGCCAGGGTATGGCACAGGACTGTTGTAAAAACCAAAATAGGAGTTGTCCATGGGAAGGACGGTGGAGAGAAATCTGTAGGATTGAAACTTCTACCCTGTTTCAGCCTGGCAATTCTCTATTGTATGCAGGCTTTATGGATAATTTCGGTCCCTGCAAACACTAAACTCTCGGAGTCTTCTACCCCGGCCCGCTCTCTTCATAAAATCTCTCTGAACCTAAACCACCCAGCTCCATTCTCATCTGCGGTCCGTGCCCGGCGGAGCCGATGCCTCGGGTGGCGGCGGAGAGTGTGGAACAGCCCTTGAGCCCCTCAAGATGTGTTGATGAGCCCGGCGATGTTTTTCAAGGGGCCTCTGATTTGCTGCACCTCCACGCTGCCCAAGAGAGGTACTGAGCGCAGTCCGAGGGACGGCAAGGCAGCAGTGGGCCCGAGCCTGGCCAGACAGCCTGCCTCTCAGGTCCGGGGTAGCTGGGGTTAAAGGGCAGAGCCCCGGTCGAGGACGCTGGCTCTTCTCTCCCGCAACAGCTGCCACCCAAATTATGCCCCTCAGGAAGCGAATGAATTGGTCCTTTCTCCCGGCTCCCTGCTGCCCGCCCCAAACCAGACGGCAGCGCAGCGCGGGCGCCCCGACCCCAACTCCCAGAGACAAGTTCTGGGGCCGTGGTGCCCCGCAGGGAGGTAGTTTGGGAGAGCCGAGACCCCGAAACTTTGACGTGGGAGGAGGCGGGAGCTGCACCGCACCCCTCCAAGACGGCTGCGCTAGGGGCGCCCTCCCGGCTCTGGTTAGGGCGCTCCAGGCAAACAGCGGCGGCGCTGCTGGGGGCCCACCCGCTGCGAGCCGCGGGCGTCCAAGTTCCCTCTGGGCGGGAACGAAGTTCCTGGGCTAGAGCGGGAAGGAGGGCTGAGGGAACAGGGAGTAGGGGGAAGCCGCCTTGGGCCCAAACGAGGCGGCGCTTCGACCTTTGGGGAGCAGGGAGCGTCTCTGCCAAATGTGTTGGGTTTAATTAGGTTTGTGTAGGTTTGGGGGAGGATGGACGCAGAGTTGGCCACCGGCACAGAAGGAGCATTGGTTGGTGATGAAGTGAGCCGCTGCTCCTGGAGGGTCACTCCCGTCTCTGTAGCCGCCGGCTACCCCCAGCAAACCTCCTTTTAGAGCACGCCACAGAAATCCCGCCCTGAGCCGCGCGGGGGCCCGGCTGGCGCAGCTGCGGCCCGGGGGAAGCCCGGCCCTGCGGGGGTGCGGAGCCGCGCGCGCATCCCCGGCTCCCACCCGCGAGCTTCGTTCTGCCCCTGGCCAGGGTCGAGAAAAATCTAAAATGACCATTATTAAAATACTTCACGACCTTCTATTTACACAAAATTGAGGTGGGGGTGGTGTTCCGTCTTATACCCTGTCCCCTCCTTTGTTCACTCTTCCCAAGGAACTCTCCGGTTTTCTTTCCGTTCACGTTTCACATCCGCACCTCAGTGCGATATGTTCAATTTCCTCCGGATCGGTTTTAAAGCCCGTTTCCCCCAATATCGTTTGGTCCAGTCTCCTGGGCGCCGCATCTCTCCTCCGGGTCAGAGGTTTGGAAATTTTTCTTAGAAAATTGTTCACCAAGCCTCGTTCTCGTCAGGCAGGACACTGGGGTGAAATCAGAGGTGTGAAAACACCCCCCCCTTACAACCTGACCATCACCCACACCCACCAGACACTCACTGAGACGCCTGGGTCCATGCAGCCCGAAGAACAGAGCCTGGCTAGTACCCAGGGAATTCGATCCATAGGGACAATCAGTCTGGGTTTTGTAAATGGACAAGGAAGCCTCTCTTAGGGATTTTTCCAATTTGTTTGTTTGTTTTAGTTGGAACCTTTGCTTTTTATTTGCCGGAATAGAAATAAATGGATTTGCTCTCCATCTCAGAACCCTTTTGAATATTTAGCTCACAATTCTTCGTCGAATGATTTTTAAAAAACATCCAACTCCACTAACTCCCACTCCAAATTTCGTCAGTATTTTTCTTGCAGAAACTGGACTTGTATGCTCCATAAATAAGAATTCCCTAGAGAGGGAGGGAGAAAAGATACTACTGTATTCGCAAATGCACCACAAATATTTCAGGAGGACTCCACCATCCAGGCCGAACAATTCTCTTTCAGGACAATTTGGTAAGAAGTTAGATTCGCTTCTTGATTTGTTTTTACATAATGAAGGGGATTGGAGCAGGAACAGCTGCAGAAATGCTGAGGCATGGAAAAACGTTTTATAGACACATAAGATTGCTTGCACCCAGGCCAGTCAGGTCACTGCAATGAGTTTACCCAAAATGGACTGAGTTTGGCTCTGCGCTAGCACTTGGCAACTCCAGAAAGCTCTTCCTCCCCTCTCTCCTCTTTTTCTTCCTCCTCTCTGGCTTGCTCCCTCTCCTTTCAGTATCCCTGCTCTGAAACACCCTTCCTTCCCATTTCCTTATTCCAGGCGCAGAGAGGGAGGGAGCCTGCGCTGAGGCAAAGAAGCAGAAAGGTCAAGAGAACAAATTTTCCAAACAGCCCCGCATTTGGACATTTGGAGAGCCGGCGTCGGAACTGGGCCCGCGCCAGCGCAGGGAATGGATGCCCCGGAGGTGTGTGTGGGGGGAGGCAGGTGACCTGTAGAGAGAGAAGCGCTTTGTGCAGCCTCCACGCGAACCTGGGGGCCTGGCTTCCTGGGTGGGTGGGGTGGCCCGAGCGTCAAGCCCCCGACTGGCGCTGCG